ATGTCCGCCACGAATGACCTGACCGGTGATTTGCCTTGCTAAGGCTGGCGACACGCGGTCACATGCCAAAGGCGGGGAGACGCCAAAAGCTTTAGACTTGGCATCAGCGAAGTGTGGAGACTAGAGGTCTCCACGCTGTGTTCTACAGTGTGTGTGTGCGCTTCTTCACTGTGTGAAAAGCTTGTCTATGCGGTCCCCTTTGTGTGCCCCTTTTGAAAGGACATCCTGACATTGACATGCCAGATTTCTGTCGTAAAACCCTTTGCATGTCTTCTTTCCTCGTCCTTTCAGAGCCCCCGACCATGCCTGACCGGACTGCCACTCGTGGATTTTGGGTGGGTTTGCGAGAGCCAAGTTTTGAAGAGCATCTTCACTTGTCCCTAGGCTTCCAAGACCATTTTAATGGTTGACCTGGCGTCGTAGTGTAAAATCCTCTAGTAAAACAATCTTTGTTTGCAAGTAAGCCTGGGGTTGCGATCTTTCTTTGTTTTTGTTGTCCAGGTCAAGTCTTGGAGATGACGAACTCTTTACCCCTTCGCCCAGTCAGTAGATGCCAGCTCCACGTGACTGAAACTGCTTTTTGGGCGAGAAAACACATGGCGCCATAAGTAATCTCTGTGGCTCGGACGGAGCGAATCCGCTTTTTCTGTTGTGGTTCGGTCGACCTATGAAACAGTGGTCGTACGTACGTCCTCCCGCAAAAACGAAGCCACAAGGCCCATTTTTTCGATTCACTTTCTCTTTGGTCATGTAGTGTTCAGGAATCATCATCTCTACTTGAGGTGGGTTCAAACAGCAGTCACTCTTGGCAGGTCTTAGCATATTTGTTTTCTAGCTGGCGCACCCCCTTCAGGGAGTTGACCCACACGCTTCCGACTCGACTGAGTCTGAACACAGCCGATGCCACCCCGATCCGGGTGTCTTCTCGCAAACCTTGGGACAGGTCATGGAACTTGAGCCAGCGATGTTGACGTCCTTGATGCAAAGTGTCGAGGAAGGCGCACCGGACCCGCTCTCGCTCTCGTGCCCGGTCGGTCTGACCTGCGCAGCAGCGAAAGAACCAGGGTGGAGCACGAGAGTGGAGATGTTTTGTACCTGGGACCCCTGTCCAGTGTCTACCAATAGCCCCCTAATAGGCCGATGCTTCGGGGTGTCCATTCATCACCCCGGGGGCGCAGGCGTCGGACTGGCCCTGGGGCCCTGGGGTTGAGCAAAGCTGCTAGGACAAGGACATCGGATGTGCTGACTCTAAGAAGCCAATGCCTCTTGCCACCATGGGTTGGACGGTCGAGTTTTGAACTACCTGGACCTTCAAGTCCAGTGGAGATCCGTAAGTACCACGAAGCGGGGGCAAGACATTTGCTTCAACCAAAGGTTCTGAAGAGGAAGATCCTCTGTTCTTGACGGGAAACCCAACGATTTGGCCACGATGTCGGCAACGACCTGCGTGGGGCTATGGTTTTCCAGTCTACTGCAGGGACCTGTGACCAGTCTACCCAGCCAGGGCCAAGGGGTCTCGCCATTAGAATGCACACCCAGTTGCAACCGGGTGCGTCTGTTCAAGGGGGGTGACTCCAAAAACCTCCAATCGCTGGACCCCCTCCCCCACCGCTCTCGTGTCCCACCCGCGTGTTTCGCGTGTACCGGGTTACCGCGCCTCGCGGCGTTGGAAAACGGGCGATGGAGCACCGGAGGTCTCCTGTCCTTCGAAACGGGCGTGCAGATGCAGAGTTGTGCTGTGGTCGTGCCCTGGCAGGTCTGATGTCACACGTCACACCGCACACATCGCGCAGACGATGACGAGGGGTCGGAAGGGAGCAACAGAAGGAGACGCAAAATCATGCAGATGGAGGTCCAAATCACGGGGGGGGCGACCGCGGCGGAGGGGTGTTTTTCTTTTTTCTGGGACTGTTCACGTGGCCTATGAAATCCCATCCCATCGGCGGTTCGGGGGGCAGGCCAGCGATGTGGTAACATAGCTATTTCCGGAAAAACCAACGTCCTGCGACGAGCAGTTCATTTCCTCACCCAATGAGGGTTCAATGGTTGTTGTCGGCATGTGAGTCGCTGTTGGAGGGGTTGATGGAAATGGGGCGGTCGGTGGTCGGCACGGGTTTTTTCAGCCGGTTTGGCGGCCGGTTTTTTTTTCGGGGGCCGTCTGCCGTGTTGGAGCAGAAACAAACCCTCCTCGATCACGTATCTGGGTGGACTGTGGACTCGGAATCTCCTGATTGGTGGAATTTAGCTCCAAACGTTGAGGATGTCTGAATCGAGACCAGCACTCTCTGCGGGAGGAGACCTTCCATTGGAGACTTCTCACGTGCGGAGCGTAAACTTGCTCCCCCTGGGACCCCAGAACTGTTTCTGGGCTAAACACTTCCACTGGGCTGAAAAAACTGTGTGTAGCCCAAAGGTGGATCCATGGCAAGCTTCCCCACCAAATCAGGGAAACCTTTGAAGATAGCAGCAAGTGATACCTGGGATGTGGAAAGCGAAGAATTTGGCGGCCTTGGGTCCTCCGCTTGCAAGTACTGTTGGCTGAGATTCTGCAAGACAGAGAGCTTTCTTCAGCTTTGAGAGGCATGTATCGTCTAACATAATTTGATACTATATATGGTTCTATATGCTAATAAATATGTTTTCTGTTCTTCATAACAGGAGCTCCTTTGACTTCCTTAGGAATAACAATAAAACCTTCTTCCCGAAGATAACACATCAGAATCTCTTTGTTGGGTTATCCCACCAGCGAACAACAGCTCACACATTCCCACATTCATCTCTCTATATATTTCCCTCAAACAAGAAGCTGAGGTCCTTCCCTACCAACCCAAGGAAATCACCTGATACCTTTTGCTGTCCACAACTGAACACGGTCCTGGCCGAGGACAATGTGATCTCCTACTTTCATGCTCAGCTGACGGGAAAGAGCACTCCGGAACAGGCGGGAACCAATTCTATTCTAACACTAGCCTCAGGCTGCCTTCCTCTCCTGCCGTCTCCCTAGTCTCGCTTTGGTTTGTGGAGAGTCCTCGATGGTCGTGGCAGAGCAAAACAAAGACATGCTCGAGATCTCTCGAGCAAATCCTGGCTCTCCCAAGCAAGACCCTGTGATCATCCCTGAACATCCCCAAACGGACTTGGATGAGATGTTCGTTTCTCAAGCAGACCATGTGAAGATGTCCATGTCCGCCAGGATCGCGTGCGGCGCTTCCTCCAGGAGGATGGGTGGTGTGAATGGTGTGAGTGATGTGAGTGGTGTAAATGGTGAGTGGGACCCTAGAGTGAAAGATCGATTCAATAGATTGAGCTCCAACCGGAACTCGTAGCAGAAAGATGCAGAAGCTTGGCATTTTGGACACTTGGGATGTGGCCTGAGTTTTGGGCCAGTTGGGGCCGGGACGGGCGTGAACCCTAAAACTCTGTTGACAGGAGAATTGAAGTTAGAAGTAGATTGTTCCCAGGAATCGATTCACAAGAGAAAGCCGCTGTTTGGGGTGATGGATAGATGTTGCTTGCTAGAATTAAAGAGCATTTCCCGACAAATCTTCGTTAGGTGTCTAAAGATGCTGGTGGGACACTGAAATGTGTGAGCGTTGTGTTGTGCTTGCTTTCCCCTCACTGGCTTGCTCTGGTTACGAAGTGCCCATTTTGGGGGTCAAATTGAACAAATCAAAGCATGAAGAAGCAGAGTCTCACCACCCCTTGACAAGTAGGACATCAATATCAAGATGATCCTGCATAGCTCAACTACGGAGCCCTCCCAGGCAAAGACCCCCGTGGTCGGAAAATAGACCAATCTACCCATTAATTTGGGGATCTCTCTATTAAAATACACGCCCATATGGCCTTGACTTGCTTTTGTGGAATTGCCTTGTGGACGGGGATGCTGATGGTAAGGCCTGCACTTCTCTTTCTCCGGGAAAGGCACCTTACAAAGAAACATTGTTCAACATGTAGGACATTGGCGAGTCTTTTGTATCTAACTTGGTGGCCAATATAGTCTTCGGTCCCCTTCTGAATCTTCGTGCCGCTTCTTGACCCTGGGTCACTTGCTATGTGCTACCGTAGATGGACGAAATATATCGAAATATTCAAACTCTTCAAACTTTGGGTGGTAAGGGGTTCGTGACAGCTCCCTGACTCAAAAACATAAGTCTTTTGTCCATCCACTGTAGTGAAAACGCGACAGTTCGACAGCCCTGGTCTCCCTGGTCTCGGAGTCTTTGAGCTCGGGTGTTGAGTCGAAAGCTTTCTGCTTGAAGGCAGGTTTTGGTGATGAGGAACGCATGTGAGTCGCTGAAACATTTGTCTAGGAGTAACAATGATTGACCATGATGGATATGTAGTTTCTCAGGGACCTTTAGAATCAAGAGCCTGGCGATTGAGCCATCGAGCTGCCCCCCCTTTCGGGCCCTGGAAGAGAGCCTGCGCAAAAACGGGCCTCAAGACACCGCTCGGTGGCGCATGTGGGGGCTGGAACGGAGGCTCCGCAGTGCTTGCAGAAGATCCTCCATTTAATGTTTCAGCTGGTGATGACAGGCACGTTCGCTTGGTCCGACTTGCGATGTGGCCGGGAGAAAGGGAGAATTGGTCAAACAGCTTGGAGGTGGACGCCCCCAAACCCAAGGAATACTATGAGTTCTTTTCAAGAATGGTGCAAGCCATTCGGTGCACTTGACAACGCCGCGAAAGTGAGAACTATCCCAGGTTGGTGAAAGTCATGCGGAAGGACCTGCGATCATCATAGAAAGTCACCCAGAGTGGGCAGAGGGGAAATTCAAGCCGATCGCTGCTGGCCAGTTGATCCCTAGGCCCTAACCCTAACCCCTTGAATTCCTTGGCTTTTCGGGTGCTCTTGTGCGAGCTTGAGGTTTGTGGGATTTTGTGGCTGCGTGAAATGAAACACCAAAATGTTACACCATGTTGACCCAATGTCTTTACCTTGTGGTCTCGGCATTGACTTTGAGCCACAGCCAGAGCGAACTCTAATTGGTGAATGACATGATTTCAGCGACCAAGATGAGTTGTTCATTGCTCAGCTCCGTTTGGGCCAACCTCCCCAAGGTATGTAGCAATTGCTGCCGACTGCTTCGACCGCCGCCAAGTTGCTGAAGCACCCACACCCGAAGGACGCGCTCGACCCCCTCCCCCGGGGGCCAGACCTGTCGGACTCGCGCCATGGCCTGCGTTGGTTGTGAATGTGATGAAGGACCAGTTGGACATCAGGAGAAGTGTGTCTATGCAGGCCCGATCCTGGCAGTTCCTGGGTGTGCTGAAGGTTTCTAAGGAAGGGGCCTTGAGTTGGTGGTCGGGCATGGCCTTGCATTGGTAAGATTTCGTGAGGTTTTGGATGATGCTCGTTGCCTGTCCCCAGCCCTCTAGTACGCCACCTTGGCCTCTCTTTCTCTGACACCTAAGAAGGACCAATTCATGAATGAAACCCATTGTTTTTTGCATTGAGAAGCTCAAAAGCCCATGAACTCACCGCACCTGAGCTGAAACCAATTCAACAAAAGTCGTTCAGCAAAAAGCCTTCCTTTCAGCCGACTGGGCCGACCCCACCGATTTGTCCTCTCCATCCTCGGAGGCCCAGGGAGAGGCTCCTACGAAACGGTGAGCAACATGGTCTATGTGGGCGAAGGTGGGGGAATTCGTTACACCGGTCTACGGACGCCCAGATGGATGGTGACCAGTTTCTCTTAGGGAAGAAAAGACAGTATCACTAGAAGAAGCTACAGTACTAGGTGGAGGCCATCGCAAGTAGCTTGGAGGCCATCGCTAGACTGGTGGGAGTGTGATGAAAGACCAGGTGGACTGGCCATTCAGCTCGGACCGACCTATCAAACGAGAGAGAGAGAGAGAGAGCGCATGGTCCAGGTTGAACTGCTTGGTCGAAACATGTCGAAACATGACCTCGGACGCCCCTGTGAGAATGGATGAGAACGGTGAAATCTGTTGTAGAGGTACGTATATAACTTCAAGTAAGGATGAAACCATCAGCGATAAGGGTCATGAAGTTTACCCTCCGTAGGAAAACACAACACCTGACACTGCATGAGTTTTGTGGACATCTTTAACATCAAAAAAGAACAAAGCAAGGAATGACATGGCAGTCCCAGCATGCTACAATTATAGATTGCGCTGTTCCTTTAAATTCAGCGACGTGTTCTTCCAACTTAGCAGACCGCGCCAGACTTGAACCCTGCGTTCAAGTTCTGCACCACCGAATGGATGGATGAAGTCCGCCACCGACCACTTCTTTAAACAAGAAAAGAACAAACACGTCAGATGGTCAGATATGTGTGTCTTGTGTCCTTCATGTGATATGAGTCCCATCTGATAGAGACACGGAGTCTTTGAGCCAAGTGGAGCAATGCTGCAGACGACTGTAAGCGTCTTGTGATTTTGGGAGAAGAGCTGTGTCGAAGTGGAGCTGTGAAAGACGCTTATTTTGCCTTCCTGGTCATTATATATGTGGTATATTAGTATTTCCTCGACCATTTAAATACTTTCAGCATCTTTCGCATAGCCTTATACGTGATACTTCCTCCGGTTCTCTATTATACGGTCCCCTTCCCGTCTCTATTTTGGAGAAAGCGGTGCCGAAGTCACTGCTTGGCCCCTGTGTTTTTTGCTTTGCATCTCGTTCTACCTGGCACTATGAAGAACAATAGCTTAAATATGTATTTATATTGCTTCGTTGCTTGTTATAATAACCTTTTGAGATTTGTTGTCAAGATGTGGTTCGTGCATCATATGCATTCGCCCAGACATCTTACTCTCGAGCCATGTGCGATCCATGCGTTTTCGATCCATCCTTCTTCGGAACCATTTGTCCTTTCACTAACTTGGCGGTGGAGATGATGGATCTCCATCGCTCACCTGATGGATCCGTGCCAGGAAAGGGCAGCATCGACAAGCGCGCTACCATGGTGACCCATTCGAAAGGCCTCTCTTGGGGTCTTTGCTGGTGCTTCTTGGCCTGAAACCATCGGACGAAGCACCATGCACCACCCAGAAATGTGAGGGTTGTTCCACCAGGGATGGTTTTTTGCGTGTGGGAATCGTTGATTGGACATCTCGGAACATCATCTCTATATAGGTTTAATCATCGAACGTGTGGCCATCCGATTTAAATCTCATCAGTCTATTGTTTACTGATGAGGAGATTGTACTGACTGAAGATGCCACAAGGTCAGCTAAGACGTATAAAACAGGGCGGTTTGATGAGCAGCTTTGACAGGTTCGATGAACTTGGCCATCCCCTTCATTTTGGTTTGGGCAAAGCCTCAAGGTATCTCAAAGTCCTTGACATTTCTTTCCATTCCACTAAAGCAGCGGGGTATGTCTCTGGCGGAGAAACTGCAGAGAACAAGAGTGCTCAGAAAGCACACCTTCGCCTTCAGTCTGATTTGTTGCTGGCTTGTGGACCATTTTGCCAGTTTTGCCCGATCCCTGCCCCCAAGTTGCTGGCTCTGATGGGAACCCCAAACCGCCCGACTCGATGTCGCCGCCTGTGACGGCGTCGTGGCGACGGCGATTGATGTGCGGCGCGCGCCATCCAGCGCGCGCGATTCATGCGTCATGGGACCCTTGGATCCTCAGGATATTGAGCTCGGATCTTTCACCTGTCAAATCTGGCTCGCGAGGCTATTGAGTGGCATGAAAAACGAACCATGTGACAGGATCGGACTGCGAGCACCTAATGAATCGGTCTCAACTCTGAAACAAGAACACCCAAAGTCGGTCCCAAGGACGCGGTCAGATCTTTCGCACCAAGACGCCACGTCCCAGCGGATCCGACCCGGGAAAACCCGACGATTCGGACCCGGTGGGTCCACCCTTTTCGATGAAAACCCGTTCAGCCGAAGAAAGCCGAAGGATATCGATGATTCCATTTCACTGAAGTGGTTTTTGCTGGATTTTTTCCCACCACACCCCAACGACCCACCGGGAGACTCCGAATTCTCCGGAGATTCCATCAGCACCCTAGGCTTGCTGCTGGTGATGATTGCGGGGCTCTTGGTGATTTTCCTTCACGTGCGCAATCCGGTGGGAAACGATGTGGTGACGATGCCTGCAGTGCCAGTCGTCACCCAGGCGCGCACGGTGGCGCACGAGCGTGGCGCACGAGGGATGCGCTCGCTCCACTGGAAGATGAAGTCCATGGGGGAGGAGTAGGTCGAAGAAATGAAGTCGAGACAAATCAGTTCGGAAATCATGGAAATCACACCTGTTGGAACCCTTTGTTTGATCGACTCTCGAGGCTTCAAACAATTCGGAAACGGACTCAAGGCCAAATCAAAACTTGGGTGATGAAGGGCCTCGGGTGATTTCCCCATGAGGTCGGTCTCTGTGACTGTCGGTGCTGTGTTGCGAACGAGAAGTGGAAACCACCAACAGTGCTTAAAGCAAGCTTTTTGTCGTATGATTTTGCGAACGGAGCAAGCTATGTGCTTGCCTTTTTTTGGCCAACACAAAGAAAACGGAACACTGTGGTCAGGAGTCTGCAAAAACCCTGGTAGATTCTTCAGCAAGGATCTTGACGAACAATCAATTCTGACCAAGCCAAAGACGGACATGACAAGAAAAGCGCCTAATTATGTTCTGTTTTGATTGTTTTCTAGATTTGTTGAACTGGTACGCGCTCCGTTTCGGATTCAAGCATGGTACTGTACTTGTCTAAAAGCCAACGCGGACATGGAACATGAAACTTCCTTGCACCATCATGTCTATATGCTTTGTCAGAGAGGAACAAACACACTGATACAACTGAAATTCAGAAAAAGACACTCCGGAGAAGCCGCGAACTTGATTTAGGTGTGTATTTCAGTAGGGTCGACCCTCCAGAGACCCCCTACAATGTTACAAGAAGGGAAAAAACGACCCAAGTCCATCAGTTGGGGGGGGGTCCTCTAGTTAACAAATATGCACATCACTTTGGAATTCCCGAAAGGACAAACATGGATCAAGGGGCCTTTCTTCTTTCTGGTCGCGATCGGAGCGCTACGAACGGGGCGAACCTGGCCTCGCTACTAGGAGCGATCGGACTCTACTAGTAGCTAGGACGCTTTCTGGTGGGTGTCGTTGTTTGCGAACCTGAGGCGCCAATCCAACTCAAGCCAAAGCACATGGTCACCAGGCGGCTTTGACCCTCTGGTTGTGGGAGGGTTTGACGACAGGGTTTTTGACGCGGGGGAAGTGGAGTGTTGGGAGGTGTTTGGTCGCCAACTTTTTATTCAGAATGGGAACCCATCAGAATTCACGGTTTAACAACTATGGTTCCACATATGGTTCCTTTTTTTCACATTGCCAGGTTCCGTGTGGCTGAAATTCTTCTAGATGAGCACACGAGTCTTCGTCGGAAGCACGTAGATGGGACCGTACCAGCAGGCATGGGTAGTAGTGGCTGTTGGGTCAGGCTGTTGGCGTTTCATCGCGGAGCTGGAACAACTGTTCCTGGTAGCGATGCCAGGAGCCCCGTTGGTAGCGTCCGATCGCTCCTAGTAAGGCCAGGTTCGCCCCGATCGTAGCTTCTTGTTGCTAACGGTGTCACACGTACTTATGGATGCTCGGACTGTTGCCCAAGCAGTGGATCTCTGCGGCCCCTTTCAGTGGATCTGGGGCCCTCAACTGGAGCATGCCACAGGTCTTTAAGGTTTCTCCTCCTCCAGCCATTGAACCTAGAGACCACAGCGGCCGTGGTCGCCCAAAGCACGTGAAAGACTGGTCTTTGCTACAGACGGTAACCTCTAAGACGGTAGTTGGAAGATGTTCGAAGTGATGGTCCTGTGAATTCATCCACTTGGATCTTTTGGTTCCAGCGCGTTTGCATCTGGGTGAACATCTTGATCTTTCGCCGTGCAAGCGAAAGTGCCAGGCACTTTGTTTTTCACAAGACTTTGAACAAGCACGTCAAGGACAAGATCCAGAGCCCACCCCGCGTAGCTCAGAATCATTTTACGCCTGTGGAGCGGAGGGCGGGCTAGGCTAGGTGCAAAGGTCCCGTACTGCCGCACCGGTTGTTTTCTTATTTGTTTTTCCCACAGTGGACAGATTCGATCAAAAGGCCTGTCGGGTTGTTATATCCAGAACTAACACCGTGTGAAAGTCTAGCAATCTACGTCAACAAGAAGCTACTATTATCGCTTTGAAAATAATCGCTTCGAAAGTAACAAGGGCATTGCGACGAACGTAGCAGTTCTAAAGGACCCCCAAAAGACTATCTTGGTCCAAACAAAGCAGAGCTCACCAGCCAACTCCTTGATCCTTTTAACAGGTGGGTGAAAAACGATGTCCCAGACCAGAACATTTAAGATATGCAAGTTTGCGTGCCCTTTTGTTGTGGCATGTTTTGTTTTGATGCACTGATTCTTGATGTCAGAGTCATTTGTCACTATAGAATTACTGTACATGATGTTCATCTATTTTCATCACGGTATGCCAGGACTTCCAGCATGTTCGTGCCAGAAAATGGTGGAAGTCTTTGTTAAATCCTGCTCAGGTGGTGGTGGATCATGTCTACGCTCCTCACAAGTTCTACTCCTGTGAGCAAGACTCCGAAAATTGGCGGGCCTGGTCTTCCAAGCACAAGAGGCCACATCTCGGCAATGAGAACCGGCTCCAGGGGGGGAACCCAGAAGTGGTCGATCCCACCCTGATAGCGACATGTGCATCAGTTTGATCGGCTTCATCGACACCACAAAAAGCAATTCCCATTTGCATCCGAGTTTTGGATCCTATTCCAGTACATGAGGGATGGAACACTTGCCAAACTACGTTACTCACCCAAGAAACATTGTCATTTGGAGGAGCCACTCATTGCGACCATTCCTTTCGATCTTCGTCGTGTTGTACGCATGATCTCATGACCTCGACCTTCTTGGGACCATCATTCGGCCAGGGCCCAAGTTCCAAGCCCAAAAAGCAAATCATGATAATGTGATTCTACCTGACGTTCGTTCCTGAGTTTGCTCGAAGCATCACAAGTTCCATGCTTTGTAGAGGAAGATGGTTTACTTGGGGGCGCGTATTCCACTTTTATGTTTTCGTTGGAGGGAGGATATGCCAGCAGTTTTTTCTTTTTTTTTTTGCAGGGGTGCTCGAGGGGTTTTTAGGGGGGTAATATATATATATATATATTGTTTTTATATAGCTTCCTTCAGTCACCTCAAGTTACCTGATTCACTTCTGCACCGCTGGTGGATGCAGGTGGTGCTGCTGGAAGGCCAACTTCGCATGTCCGGTGAAGGTGGTGAATGAGGATAAGTATGTGAAGGTGCAGAGACTTGGATTGTGAACAGGAAGAACGACGGGCTGTGGTTGCTGCTGCTGCTGCTGCTGGTGGTGTTGTTGTTGTTGTTGTCGTCGTCGTCGGAGTTGTTGACTTCGAGCAGTTTTAGAGACCCAAACTGCATCCAGCTGGAGCTGACTTCGGCTCCTTCTCCGCCGACACTCCTCAGGAAGAGCCACTCCTATGCCGTCCCGAAGTACTACAAAGTGACGCTGGGACTGCAGGAGCGATGAACCGCCCGTTTTGAGCGTTGAGCCAGGTATATATGCCAAGCCCGTTAAGCCCCCCAAACCACTCCAACTGATCGGCAGTCCTATGGCAGTCCCATTCGTCGTGTCGACAGGGTATATAAATAGAGAAGACCTCCCGGGCGTCCCGACTGCGTTCGGTGCGTAGCCGGTGGATGACCTCCTCGACCGAGCCGATATCCGGTGAGGGGAAGCGACGTGTTTCGGTGAAGCGTTCGGAGGGAGGGAGAAATCGCACAGCCTCTTCCAAAAGGATCAGACGTATTTTTTTTAGGGCCCTAGGGCTCCTGGCCCTCCTCAGAAGGTTAGACCCCGTTAGACCCCAAAAACACACCCCTGGCCCACCGAACCGAAACGTTCGGTGGGCCAGGAGCCCTTTCGGGATCAAACAACGTCGACAACTCCAGTTCGCCTGAACGGAGTCCCCGCGCGGCCCGCGCGGCTGGGCGAGGCGCAGGAGCCCAGTCTCATATGAAAACCGCTGGCGATGCGGGGTCTGCTGGCTTCAATTCCGCATGACCACCGTGGTGGGGTGACACAGCACGTCAATATATATGTGTGTGTGTGTGTGCCACACTTCGAAGACCTCCCACTGCACTCTCGAACGCACCGCGAAGCTCGCGCGCTCGTTCTCGCGGAAAAACAGCTCTGACGGGTCACCAATCGACCAGGAAAAACACACGAGCGGCATCTGATATACTGTTGATGTAGCAGCTATCAAGAGGTTTCACAATTCAAATTGGGGGGCTGTAGCAAATTAATCAACATTCTACATCAGGTGGTGACTTAGTCCGATGCTGGCCTTCAAGGGTGTTTCACTGTACCAGATAGTACCAGGAGAAATGGTTCTAACTCAAAACATCAGTGGTGCATCTCTACCCTCCGCTTGCTTTCCAAGAGGCATGTCACTGGATCGGTTGTTTTGGGCCACAACTCGGGGACACTCAGCATCCACCATATTTCACCCAAGTCATTTCCATGTCCCACTCTGACCTCGAAGAAACCACTCCGGACGTCTTGAAACCTCCCGAGGCGTCCGGTTCAGCTTCCGTTTCCTCATGCTTCTCAGGAAGGTCCCCTCCGTGACGCCTAAACCGCTGGTGGTGCACGTGAAGGTGCCCTCACCACCGCTCCCCCCGAAGCTGGTGAAGGTGCCCTACAAGGCGCTGCGACGTGTCGGCGGCGGAGGTCCGGGGGCAAAGGTGGGTGGGGTGAAGGAGCAGTGTCAGTGTTTGTTTCAGGAGATTCAAGCTTTGCACTTCAATGCCTTGATTTAAAACAGGTGGACCCAGGTTTCCTGACTATGAAGCCCAGTTAAAGACTTGATGTGTGGCTGACTGGTTGGGCCACGGTCGGAATCCACTGTTCCAGTGCCAGCTTGCACAGGGATGGCATGGAGATAGTCCACGCCGGCGCATTCCCATATACAGCAACTCCTTTGCATTGTTTGGTATTGTAAACTATATCACCCCAACCGAAAAACTCGAATAAACTGTAAAGTAGAACACCAAAAACCACACCAAAACGCACCCCATCCGGTCAGACCCCTTGCCGCAAACTCACTGCTTGGATTCCAACGAAAGGGGGTCCCAACGAACTGGGACTCCTACCCACTAGGCCTCTGAAAAACGTGCTTTTTGTTCGATCTTTGGCGGTTTTTTCCGCCTCCGGGCCAGGTGCCGGCCAAAATCCCACCACCCATCATCCACTACAAGTACGTGCCGAAACCCTACCGTGTGAACTACACCAAGGCACGGACGGTGGGACATCTGCGCCAACTCTGACGGGAGGCAAAAGGGAGTTGCCTTCCGTAGTAAAGCAACCTGGGAGTCCGAAGCAAACACTCTGAAGGGGTTGTGCTGAGCTGGTGCGTTTTGTAATTAAACGCTTTTTGATCCAGTGATGTTGTTGCTGCATGTGGCTTGACTTGCTTGACTTCGAAATCTATTATCATTCTATATCATTTGTTGTACTTCTAGACTACCGTGCTCTGGACATTCAAGCCAACAAAGGACTTTTCTGGATCATTGGGTCTCAAAGGGTGGATCAATGAATGTCGTAGTCATCCTGAAGAAGATAGAATATGGATCACTACGGACACGTCCCAAACGACAAGGAACCTACCTGGGCCATTGGGTTCATCGGATCTATCTGTTTCCGGTCCGCTTGCAGACGGACGGGCCCTCGGAAATCCGGCTGCCACCGGACCTCCGTGGTTGGTCCCCATTCGGTGGGGTCGACCCGGAGAGATGAGCGAAGTCGATACAAATCGTAGGTGTTTGGACTCTTAAGCCCCACCCATTTGAGTTGAATCTTCATATGGGATGGTGTTCTCACTTCACCCGTAAGTGTTCTCACCCCATCCGAACTAAGTGTGCTGAATTCACCAACCAACGTCTACCTTTGAACATCTTTGAAACACATCCTTCACTTCCGCTCTGCGGGGAACACGGCGCCCAGCGAAATCGGACAGCGAGTACGATCGAAGCCAAGTGCGAGTCTTCCATCCTTTTTTGGTGCGTTTTTGGAGAGTTTCCGGAGCTCAGGTGGTTTGGGATCAGAAAGAGGTGGAGGTCCCGGTCACGGTGAAGAAGTATGTTGGACGCCCAGTACGTTGGGCGCGTGATGTTCACCGGCGCGGTGAACGGAACGAAGGGCGGGCGGCAAAGCCAGGGGGTTTGTGGTGTTGCACCGTGGGTGAACGGTTCCGGCTGGTTCTCAGCTGGGTTCTCAGCTGGTTTCAGCTGGTGAAACACCGCAGGGGTTCATTTCAACGAAACCGACTGGGGATGTTTTGCACCGGCCAGGAGGCGGAGAGCAACCAGGGAGCAACATGGGTTGTTTGGAACGTGGGTTTGTCCACTGGTCTTTTAAAGGAAAGCACTTGGATTGAAAGGGTTTGTGTGGGCCTCCAGGCGGCTGAGGTCAGTCCCTGAACTTGTTTTCGATGATTTGCCATTCCGTTGCTCTACCATCTCTATGATCACTCTCAAAACACATGCAGCTCAGCTCTCGCATGAGGATGATGCTCCGGCGGAGGCCCCCCCCAATCCATGACCGCCCAGGCGACGAGTACAGCACGCCGGTCAACCTCGTCTCCGGTCGCGACCAGGTGCCTCACAAGGTGCAGCAACCAGCGGAGATCGTCCACAGAACCAAGAAGGCGGGTCCGCCTGGTGGTGTCGGTGGAGGGTGGGATGGGAGAGCGGAGCTGCGGACGGTCCGGTGCAGGTCGATCGTCCAAGTAGAATGCATTGTATTCTATAGGTTTGATCAACCAATGGGGTTCATCACTGCAATTGTACTGAACATGGTGAATGAATCGGTGGGTATGATGGGTCAAAACATGTCAAAACTCACAGAAGCAACACCACTACCCAGAGCAACGACACGGTACCAGTCTTCAAGAGTTCGCAAATCCCTTCCAAGCGGTCGAGAACTCGTTCCAACTGTGAGTTCTGTCCTTCGTACCTTCGTTTCCATCGGGTTTTTTCCGACCACCTGACCATTCGTGCCCGGGTTCAGAGGAACGTCTCAGCGCCGCTCGCGGCGGATGCTCGCGCGCTGAGCATCTAGCGCCCTTCGCTCGCGCCCTTCGTGGAGCGCGAGGTCTATGTGGACCCGAAGGGCTACGATTGCACCGAGGGCTTTCACGACTTTGAGAAACTTTGGTCCCAGGACGTTGCGAGGGGAGGAGTGGCGTCGACTTGGGGGTGGGGGGAGAAGTATAGCAGGATAGCTTTCTCTTTTTAAAGGAGACGTATGAGACATGGGAGCCACATGGGAGCCCATCTTTGGTCCTTTGAGCTTATTTGTGAAGAGTGAAAGACCACTGGCAGTTTGTTTGCTTCCTATGAGAGACTGGGCAATGGCAGTTTGGCGCGAGAAGATACACTCCGAGTAAAACCAACGCGACAGTGCTGGCACCCCCTGTTTGAAAAAGAACTATCGTCTTAAAAAGAAACCATGCCATCCATGCCATCCATGCCATCCATGCCATCCATGCGATCCACATCCAACGTCTGAGCCATGACGTTGCCTTTTTTTCCTTCCTTTACGTGGCAACGTCATGGCGAGACAGCAAAGACCTGCCAGCTCGCGTGTCGGCTGTCGGAGTGGACCTTCGGTGTGACAGAGTGGGTGTGACAGAGACGTGGGTGTGTATTCTGACCCGGGTGAACCCGGGTGACCCGGGTGACCTGGGTAGAGTCATTTCTTTCAGCGAACGAACGCTCAACTCGACCTGGGACGGGACGGTCTCTGTGGTGTCCGGCGACCGACCGGAATGTCACCGTGCAGGATCATCAGCGCTATTGCTGCTGGAAAGAGAATCGAGCCTGTGTCCAGGACGGGACCACCGATTTGATCTGGCACGTGGGAAGAGAGTGGAATTTGACATCCTATTTGAGTCATGAAGAACACGAACAAATACAACTTCAGTCAAATCGTTGATTCCGTTATGATTCAAGATTGAATCAGATGATTGAATCATCAAGAGACTCTCAGAAGAATGTGACCACTGTCAAATCGCTGCAGGATGTCCACAAGACCAAGACCAAGGCCCGCACGGGCCACACTCCGCCCAGTCTCCGTCCAGTCTCGGGCGGAGGAGCCGCTTCAGGGCTGAGAGAGCGTTGGAGTCCAAGGACACGGTTTGCACAAACAGAGGTGCTGAGTGTTTTGTAAGGTTCAAGTATACACACAGACAGAGCAAAGACTTCTTTGTTCCTACTTGTACCTATAGTATAGTACAGGTATTTTCAATGTTGTTGGATTCAACATACAGACATAGCAAGCACCGTCCACTGTCCACGTCCAGCTCTTCCGAGAGGAGGAACGAGGCGCCTTTTTCTTTCGCCCCCGTGGGATTCCTCGTTGAGACCGAGTACTGGGTGTAAGGATCGGTGACGAAATCCATATGATCCCTGGCAAATCAATCGAATCCTTGGATAAGATTCACCTATATTCACCTGATGGGCATGGCCAGTGGTTGGAAACCGCTTCCATGTGGCTGTGCATTTCGAGTAACCGCCAGTCCGCCCACACGGACGTCCGACTGCGCCGAACTCGGCGTCCGTCTGTCCCGATGCAGGTGGTGACCCGCCCCAAGATCGTGACGATCCCAGTGCAGCCTCCGCCGAAGGTCGTGGTGAGGACACACACGGTGAATGAGTATGTGGACAACACCCACTTCGATTGCACAGAAGGCACCGGGTGGCACGGGTTTCGGGTGGCGACGTGCGACGATGTGATAGTTGATCAACAGGTATGATACCTGTACAGTACCTTCAACAATCTTAAAGTGGTTGTCAAAAGATCGCGAGAGTGGGAGCGAGTTCTGAGGTTGATCCATTTTTCGTAACACCAGTGAGGCTTCTGACACCCGAAAGACGAAGGGACCGACCTCCAAGCTGCCATCCGAGCAGTGAAGGACTGGTGAAAGACATTTGAGACGAAGAAGAGGCTGACCTGACAGAATGAACTTGTCACAACATGTTGATCACATTCCCAGAAACAATCATAGAAGTGGATGCCATGGCTCCTGGGCGACCATGAAATCCGAAGACCAAACAGGTGGTGAACTCACTCACTCCACGGAATCCGTGATACTGTAGTGACTCAGAGTGTATAAATAGGGTCAGTCGGGTCTTGTCCTGCCAGTCACTGGGAACAGGTCCTCTTCCTTTCTTTTTTCCTCCGGGAACAGGTCCATTTCACACCAGAAGAATGGTCTCTCAGTTGGTCTTGGGTGATTCACTCGATGTGTTTCTTTCTCTTCAGTTGCAGACCAAAAAAATTGAAGAGGAGAATATCCTTGCAGATGTGGTGGTTGTTGTTAAAAGCACGTCCGATCCAGAACGAAGAGACCGAACTTCTTCGGTGGTATGAGGTATGCTTTCTCTTGCATGACTTTCCTGCCAAACATCGACTCAATGATTCTGAAAGCAAGTGGCTGAGATCAGTGCGGCCGCAGACCACCGAACTGAAGCGGGGAACATGGCTGCTGAACATGGTTGTTCCCCCATGCACTGGTGATCAGAGGTGAGGCCAAGGCATCAACGAACACCTTCAGGCCTGGCCTAGCGATCCTGAAAACCACTGATTGGTCAAAGCAAAACAGCGCTTCTTGTTGGGGTCAATGATAGTACCCAGACACTCTATGTATTGTATGCCATATATGCCTACATTGACCCCTCAAACCACCCCAATGTAGGCATATATACCATACATGGAGCGTCTGGGGTAACTGGGGTATAAGGAATTCTCTGGTGAAACCCAGCCTGTGGACACTCTGGTGAGTATAGGCTTTACTCTGCACTTCCCCGAAGACGCCCAGCGGCAGCGTGAGGCTTTAAGAACTGGTACTTTGGTTGGTCGCCAGCGACTTGGATCGAACCGAGTTAAAGTGGATGGTTTCCCATGCGCCAGACTCCACCGGTCTTTCCGAATGGATCTCTCCACTCAAAACATCTCAAAATCAGGTGGATAAAATTGGGTTCACCAAATGATGGCCGATCTCCTCGAACTATTGATTGATCACAAAGAGGGGATACCCCTGGTCATGTACAAGCAATTTTTGGCACCACACCCTATATATACTGCATCAGTGGTAGTTACAGTGGTTGCAGAGGTTCGATGGGACTGGCACCCGAAGATGTCTTACTGTAACCACCAAACTGGCCGAGTGTGCCATCTACTCAAAGAAAACCAAGGAATGGTTGACCCGGTTCTTGGATGCTTTTGGTGTAAAATTCTTAGTAAAACATTTTTTGGGATTCAGGCTGTTCAATCACTGGTGCTTCGACTTTTTGGGGTCTTTCCAAAACAACATGCGACCCGTTGGGATCGAAGCGACCCAACGACACCCGGGCATCTCGTTCATGGCTGGCTGCATGCTTGCAACTCGTGGCCACAAACAGCAGCTCCAGACTCTGGCGTCAGCGCAGGCTCACCTTACTTGAAGCCAATCTTGCAGAAGTGGTACATCAACCAAGGCTGGCAGCCGAAGAGTCCAGAGGACGCCGAGTCTCTCCCTCTCCTCTTTGTCTCTCGCCACCTCGAAGGCTCCCATGATCCAGACGCATGGAGAGCCACACAATCCCTAGGGCTCCTGGCCTACCTCCGTTTCGGTTCGGTGGGCCAGGGATGGGCCTGAGGATATGGTTGGAACCCTAGGGAATGCTAAGCTCGGGCATCCGAGAAAACGCGCGTCGTGACAGCAGAAGCTCTGGACGCACCACGAGGAGAGTGCTGCACCCGCAGAACGGCACGCGTGACAGCGGCTGAACACGCGTCGCGTCGCGTCGCAGCGTGTGGCGCGCACGAATTTGTGTCAACAAACAAAGACTCATCATCCAGAGACATCGCAAGGTCCACAAAAGTTGGACACTCACGTTTTGTGGACGCAGCTGGCATGCAGCTACCACGCTGACACCCAGAAGAGACTGACGGCTGGCTGCACTTCTCAACATTTCACAATAATAAAATTCGACACGCCATACGATCAACTAGTCAAGTAGTGTATACCACACTGTGAACACGCCATATCACCCACGCTGTGAGCAGATGTTGTTGGTGAATTGAGCTTTTCGTTTGCTGTTGGAGGGGGTCATTGGACAAAGTGGGAGGTGCCGGTATTGCTATTGCTTCCGTTTTCCTATAGTTTGATATGACTATCTCTAGAACAGTGCTCATCTTCTTCTTCGGCCTTGAACATTAAGGTGAAGAAGACTTGGTGCTGCAGCCACGAGAAGAGGGGCTGCCCTGGTTCCTGGCATGGGAAGATGCAGTTGGAACTCCACCATGCAACCTGGAGCAAGAGCTTGAACCATGATCCATCATGGTCCCCGAATAGGGTGGCTGGTGGTCAGAACCAGGCAAGAAATTGGGGGGGATCGTGTGCTGGAGAGTAACTTATTCTTCAGTGATAGCTACCTTCTTCAGTGATAGCTACCTATACCTCTCTCGATATCAGCCGGGCGGCACGAAATCGAACCATATTATATGCTGCCCCCGGTCGTGTGCCCGGTCGTGTGCGGTCCGCGTACCGGGAGTTCGCTTCGTGCAACAAGCCCCACAGTCCGCGTAGCGGGAGTGGTCCACAGCAGGTCCACCGAAGATGTTTGCAATTGCCCTGCTGCCTTCGGGTGGAAATTCACTCGCCGCCACCACTTCCGTGCTCAGGAAGTGGTGGTGCATCATGGAGGAAAGGCAACGGGACGCATCTATGAATCTGGACTGAGCAGGTCCAGATTGTTTATGTGGGTTTTGTCTCCAAAAAGGACACGCTTGGTATGGCTCAAGGCGTTAGTGCTCCATGTTTTTCCGTGAAAAGTGTTCTGGACAGTTCCTATCTGGAATGAAGGCACGCCCAATTCCCGTGACCTGCGCACCTGCGCCCCGTTGTGGGTCTGTGTAACACCGCATCCTGGTGGATGTGGAGCTGATTTGGCCAATGATTTACCACTTCATCCACTTGCAATCTTAGCATATCATCAGTACTGGAGAGCTTGTGGGGTCTTCTTTCGGCTCGAGGTCGACGTGTTTTTTTTCCTCAAACATGAGGCGACACTTCCATTTGTGTGTTTCATGCTTATCGAGCACTCCTTGGGAGTCTTTTTGGAGATGAATGAGATGATGAACATGGTGACTTTACAGAGAGGTTTCTGTTTTGCAGATTCAGTACGAACCAGAACTGTGAAACACCCAAAAACTTGGCATCAGGCTGTGATATACATTTGGATTCGAACCCCGAAGCAAGACCGAAGTCTTTGAGGAGCAGCAAAAAGGACTTCTACTGGTGGCCTTCCTACCCCATGGCCATTGACTACGCGGATGAAAAATCCCTTCAGAAACCCTATCATGGCTTGGTGATGTCCAAGTTCACTTTTAAAAGGGAACTCTCACTTGTCAGAATAATCCTGTTTCATTTCAATGTTCCCAGTATTTGGTCGCCCTGGTTCTTGATCGCATTGTGTGGTGAAAAACATTTGCACCCCTCAGAGCACGGTTTGTCCCCATGTGCATCCAAGAAGACACCCCACCGAACCCATGTGGCACTGGGTCATGGCAACGGGACCGCCTTGTTTACAGGATTTTCACCTACCAGGATTTTGGAGCTGGTTTTGATCCAACTTCGCCACTTTCTGACCACCAAGCCTCGCAGAACCTCGGCCGCCTCGGCCGCCCGAGGACTGTAATGCGGGATTCTCCAATTGGCTCCACGGATGGTCGGATTCCAAGAAGAACTGGTGCTGCGACAAGGAGCACCGAGGCCCGGTTTGGTGGGCGGTTTTGGGTGGGGGTCCGGGTGCGGGGGCTTGCGGGCGTGGACCTGGCTGACGGGCAACTTTTGGATGGCAACTTTTGGGGTGTATTATTCAGTAAAATGCAACAAAAGAAGATGCAGCATGCTGCGAAAATATCGCCCTGAAAACACCGCCTAGACCGTCTATAGTTGTTGGGGTGTTCTTTTTTCTCTTCAGCGCTCGCCGGTCCGCTGCCGCCGCTCGCCGCTAGCAGCGGCGCTTCCAGGCTGTGTGAAGTTCCACTGCTTCCATGAAGATGCGGCGACGTGGGCCATGGAGAAAAGCGAGTGGTGCTGCTCCAACTTTCAGTGCCTGGGCGGTCGGCCTTTCCGCCCAAACCGCTTGGAACTTCCGGATCCTGATCCTCTGAGTTTATATAATGAGATATTACATGGTTTATAGCAGGTCCCAATCAGGGGTCACTGCCACGGGGTCACTACACTTGGCCTATTAAGTAAGTTACTTACCGCAGCTTCAGTTACATACCGCAGCACTTGCAGCAGCTTGCAGCATTGTTATACACAGCTTGCAGCTGCAGCAAGTGCTGCGGTCACATTCCGTCTCTTTCTGGCCGAAGCTTTTGGCCCTGACACTTTCTGAATGATTGGATGACAATAAGAAAAATACGGATAGAGATGGATAGAGCCAAACAAGAACAACAATACACAAATTTGATAGTAAGAAAAACAACTCCTGTTTGGTTGTTTCTAGTTTTCATTGAATTTCTTCTTCATCTATATATATAGCATATATATATATATTATCATAAAGTTTTTCATGTCATCCCCCCCACACCGGAAGCATGCTCCGCTTTGGGCTTCATACCCTTCCCAGTCAGGGGATGTCACGGGGGTGGTTAAGAAGCCTTTGATGCTTCCTTTCCTCGGGCTTTCTGGCCCTGATCTTCCAAGAGCTTCGGATTCATTGTTCTGCCGCATACGTCGAACCTCGAACCAGTGCGGCGGCCCAGGGTGGGCTGCCCCAAGACGACCTTGTCGAACCTGGGCTGCAATGCACCCTGCGAGATCCATGGGGAAAGCTCTTTATGCATCGACCGCATCAAGTGGACCTCAGAGAACGTGGCTTGGCGAAGGAGTTGATTCTTGGGCCGGGCAGCAGCAGCAGCAGTTTGATCCGGAGGTTACGGCTCTCCCTCCGGTTCCGGGGGAGCAGCATGTCCTCCGTGTCGATCACGCCGAGACTCTGAGTGTCACTGAATGAGGATCAATTATATCAGTATCAATTCCAATTATTGTCCCCTGGATTCAACTGGAGAATAGCAGCATGTGGATGGGGCTTCTGTACGTTTCTGTCAGCTCTGCAGTAATTCATTGCTACGAAGGCATGAAGATCATGAAGCAGGATCTTGTGGATAACCACCGGTTCCAAAGATGATGACCTGGACACGCCAGGGACATGTAAGGATACTGCCTGGACGATTTGTGCCAGGGGAGTCCGGAGATCCAGCTTAGTAGGATGTGTAATCATGGCTCAACAGTTGATCAGACATCCAGCAAAACGAGCACGAGGAAGCACGCAGACAGTCTTCGTTCAACTGTGCATTCTTGGGTACAACTGCACAGTTTCTCTTTCATTTTTTCCGTGATGAACAGGACAAAACGAGCCTCTCCTTGCCTCACAAAGAGGGGACTTACATGCGCCTCCCCCGAAACGGGACTCCACTCGACTCGTCGCATCGACATCGGACGAAACAGGTCTTTCATGGACGAAACAACGCTTGCGCGCTGTCTTACAGCAAGATCCAGGCCTTCAGGGGACCCCCCATGCGGAGTGCCAGGGCCATGGCGGCCATGGTGATGTTTCTTTTCTTTTTCTCACTGCCCCCGAAGGTTGGTGAGTTTCATGCCCTCCGCAAAGACCTGTCACATGTTTTGGTGGAAGATCTTCCACACCCCCTCCTGGTGGATTCTATGTTTGTGAAATGATGTTAAATGATAATTGATGACACAATGTACACCATTAAGACTATTGAGATTGAGATCACATATATTTCCTGGTGCCCTGCAAAGAAATGGGTGCATACCCACGACTCCCCCATAGATGGTGCCACCCAAAGATATGCCAGGACAACGGGTGGGCAAGAAAGGACCCCAGACACCAGCATGTGGAGAAAGCAAAAGACACATAGAGTTTGTTATTTTTCTGAAGATTTTCCCAGCTGACTGGCAGGTAGAATGCGACATTTGCCGTGGCTGCTCCATCGAAGAAGCAGGCACCGCAGCTGCTGTGAAATTCGTAGAGCTTGTTTAGGCTGCAACAAAGAGAAACAGAGTTGCTTTCATGAGTTGGATCTCCTGTCATCCTTTTCTGTCCAGTTTTATGATCTCCAAGTTGGATCTTGTTAGAGCCACTTGTTGATTTGTTGAATGGTAGGCTGCATATATACAGTATATATATAAACCCATAAAGCCAGTATCGAAAGTGTTTATGCATAGTACACGAACTCAGTAACATCGAAGCAGCAAATAGCCATTTGGAAGACCATCCACTTTCACCACGTGATGTGTGAATTCGTGCAGTCTCTAGGAGGTCTTGAGGTTGATGTAAGAAACATGAACTTCCTCACGTCCCAAGATCCTGACCATTCCTGCACCCCGTGTGTGGTGGCGTGTCAACGAACCGAGTGACTTGACCCACGGCCGTCTCCATGGGTGGCACATTGGGGAGATCCGATCAGTGGACCATTTGCTCGAATTGGCGAGGATGGGTTTACAGAATTCACTTCCAAAGCTTCATGATGACTAGTAGCGACTAGTAGCGGCCTGCCCTGGCCCGGCTGCTCCTAGCGTCCGACGGTCACCTTCCACGCGTTGAAATTCATCTTCCACCGGGGAGGTCTGACTCGGCTCGGATCTGCTTGGCTCGGGGGGTCTGAGATCCCAACTGACCGTGTCAGGTGCACGTCCTCGAGAGTCGTAGTAGAATTGTGTCGAACTGGGAAAAGACCGTGTCGCAAGCTTCGATTCTTTTCAAACATCCTCAAACCAATTCTGGAAAACATGTGCCCCAACCCAGAAACTTTTGGAACTCCTATTCCTATCTCTTCCTTTCTGCGCAGGGTGGTTATATGTTGATTGTTATGGTTGTCCTTGTTGTCGTTCTTGCTCTTCTGATCTACTGGTGGCACACGTCTGTCCCCTCATTCCACACCTCTCTCCTTTTTCCTGCACTCTTGAAGGCCAGTATTGGCCAAGCGGCCAAGAACCATGCCCTCCTTGATTGAAACAACATTGGACCCATGTTGCCACCGATCAAGAAAAAGCCTCCGAGCCGTAGCTGACGCTTCGAGCCGTCCGGTCCGTCTGCTCCCTCGAAGGGATATGATATACCCAATATGTATCAAAGATCTTCTATATACGAAGATATATCATCCTGTATAATATACATCCGATATACCGTATATATAGGATCTTTGAAGACGTCAAAATCCTATTGTGACCCATGAAACCCCAATCGCCGATCGCTGATTGGACGCGCAGACCTGCGCGCGACCTGCAACCATATGGTCGCCGATGAAAAGACCTCTCTAGAGCGACGTAGTACCATGATGAACAAGGACGCTACTAGGAGCAAAGGGCATCGCTACGAACGGAGCAAGGACGCTACGAACGGGGCTCCTGGCCTTACTACTAGTCACAAGAAGCTACTATAGAAAAAGTCATAGTAACATGCAGTAAATAGAAAGGAACACGTCACACCACATAACAGCGGGGTCTGGTATCCCCTGGTGACCTTGTACCGCTGTCATAGAACTACAATTTTAATTGAAACCTCGTGAAATCAATGGTCCTTTTAAGCTCATAAGTGCCATAACGTGTTTCTTTTTTGTTCCTCTCGGGACTGCTTCCAGGCTGCAGTGTGATGCACGTGGCGACGTCCGCGGCCTTCAACTGCAATGCGGCGTTGAACAACTTCTTCCGCGCCTGGCCCGGGACGCCCAGACGTCGGCACGGCTCGAGCCCGGACCCGAGACGGCTCGAGACGCTAAGCTTTTGTGCCGCGTTGGTCGTGTTTTGTTTTGTTTGTTGTTTTGCAGTTGATGTGAGAACTGCATGGAGCAATATGGAGCAGCTTTGGTTGAGGAAGTTTGTGTTTACTGGTACGTGATCTCAGCTTTTCTGGAATTCTTTCATAGGGTGCTCAACTTAGTCAATGTGGCCTGCTTTCATAGGTACATGTTTCCTAGAAACAGGAACCTCACAAACATCAAGGAGAGTCATAGCATTTTTCCGCGTATGGCGCGCGTAAGCTCCGCGTAAGCTCCGCGTAAGCTCCGCGTTCGTAAGTCTCATATCCGTCCGCGAGTAGCCCACATGACACACGAATCTATCAAGGTTTCCAGCACAGCTCAATTGAATGCTGAAGGGATAGTGCTACAAAGCGGTCTGTTCTAATTAGAAAGTTGGTAGTTGGTCTGGACAACATCGAGAGCGCGTCGAGACTTTTGGGTTGAAGTTGGTAGTTGGTCTCGCCAAGATCTTCTTGCTTCGTAAGAGACAAACTCACCGGGCGTTCGAAGCGGTTTTGGCATACAGCGGCCAGGGCGCTCTCCTGCGTTCCTTTCGATCAAACCTGCGGTTCCTTTCGAGCAACCAGGGTTCACGAATGATTTTACTGTCCATTTGGATGGGCTAATCCATCAACATCACAAGGTTGATTGATTCTCCTCAATTATTTGGCCCCTTTTGTTCAAAACATCTCTTCTGAGTGGAATTGATGAGCCTCAATTAGCATTAAACAGTAGCTTCTTGCGACACTGTAGCGATGCCAGGAGCTACGTTCGTAGCGTCCTTGCTCCCAAAAATTAAGCGATGCACCTTGTTACTAGATGTTACTAGTAGCTTCTTGTTCCTAGTAGTAAGGCCAGGAGCTACTAATGAGTAGCGTCCGATTGCTCCTAGTACAAATGCATTGCGATGGCCTCCACCGAGCATCGCGATGGGATCCTTGAGGGGCGTGGGACCCACGATGTTTGTTTGTTTGGAGAAGACGGGTCCCTTTTTCTGGTGTACGTTATACGTTATATATCATGATGTATTTGTTGTAAAGATATTGGATCTGACCACACCAAATGCCCAAAGTGAGGTCATATAGTCTCAAATGTCCTATAAACCACACTTCAGCACCAGGCATGACATGTTTGCTTGGTTTGCACTGGAAAGCATCAACCTCAGCTGTCCAGATGGCTTGAGACATCTTGAGAGGACCTACATTTGTTATTTGAGAGCATGTGAGCTATTCGGAATTGCAGTAAATGAGACGGGTCATGAAAGATCACTCAACAGTAAGGGTGTTGCAACCCCTTGAACATCCTTTCACCCAAATCCCTGTAAGACTTGTGTGTCTCCAATCATCCACAACTACTCACTAGATCTCACTAGTGTTGGCTTTGTAGCTATCTCCAAGTCAAGCACGTCTCTGTTGACATCCAGACAAAAATACCGCCGGGGCCACGCTCCGCCACGCTCCGCCACGCTCCACCACCTTGTCTCGACCCCGCGAGGTCCCCACCGAAAAAGCAATGGTGCTGCACCAACGAGGGCAAAGGCCAAGCGCCAACCGTTCCTGCGGTGGAACCACACCGTTCCAACCGGGCGACTCCGGGGCGACGAACCCGGGACGGGAAGCCCGGACGCGTCCTGCGTCACAGAGTTGGTGAAATTGAAGCGATCCTAATGGGATATCTATGGCACTCATTGGACACTTTTTCTCACTGGTCTATTGTATTGTCGACCTTTAGCATTTGGTTGGTACTTTTTGGGGTCTATTTCTTCTTCGAACTTGGAACACACTTGAATAGACATGACACTTGAATCACCATCTCTTCACTACTCCATGCACATCCGAACCAGAAGCTCAGTGGACGCGACTCCTGCGGATGGCCCACCGCTTGGGCCCGGCCGCTTGGGCCCACCGCGGAGGCTGTGAGGGGGCCCATCCGCCCTCCGTCGACCCGGGCTTCGGCATGGTTTGGAAGCACGTGAAGGCGCCGACCGGGGGCCGAGCTATCCCGACCTCCGGTGGTTCTTGGATCCTGATATTGGTTGATTCAACAATCGTTCCGGGAAGAATCCATGCAATCTGGTAACATCAAACAAACAAAAGTTCTCGTTCCCCTGTGCATGAAGTTACATGTTTTTGAGGCAATGTCGCATATGCCATATGCCGCATGCCATGGTGGTCTAAAGACTTGGCTGTAGCGCATGCAACAGGAATGATCATCCTTTTTTGAAGCGCACCCTTCTACACGGCCCACCTTCACCTTGATGTCCTTGAGATTCGGGTAGGATGACCATGATCATTTTCTGCAATATAGTTGTGACTATGACACACATGAGGACTGGACATAGTCACATGGGTTTGCATCCCCCACGGGTTGGCTCGGAAGACGAGGTTCCGCAGGTGGGACCTCTCCCATGATCATTCCCGAAGAGATCCCTGACCAGCGCCAGAGATTCTGATGATACCCTCCAAAGTTTCAACAACCAATTCTAATAGTCTTTACCGAACAATCATGGTTTTATTAAGTGTACACTTTTAGTTTGAAACATCTTGAAATCAACTAAAAACATCGAGCATCTAAAAGCTGAATCTCGTCTTCAGGCCAGGGCGGCGAGGTCAGGTCAGGTCTAGCTGCTAGCTGTGACCTCGCTACGGACAGGTGAGCGGCTATTGGACTTGGATGGCCGTGAAGGGTGGCAGCACAGTGGGACACTGAGGGGACGGGGCGATCGGATCGGCGGTGACGTGGGAAAGCCGATCAGAGAGATGATTGCTACTACTCAAATAGTTACTTTATGTTACTAAATAGTTAATAAAACTATACATGTTTCTTCGGAACGACTGGCTGTTGTTGGATCAACCCCCGAAAGATATAGCTGATAGGAACAAGAAGCTACTAGGAACAAGAAGCTGCTTTGGGCTCCTGGCATCGCTACTAGGAGCAAGGACGCTACTAGCCCTTACTACTAGGAACAAGAAGCTACTATATAGGGGCTCCTGGCATCGCTACTAGGAGCAAAAACGCTACTAGGGGCTCCTGGCCTTACTATAGTAACAAGAAGCTAGCAAAAGGAAGCGGTTTCAACAACCTGTGACTCACATGACCCACTTGGAGCGGAGCACCTGTCCAATTCTCCGCGGAGGACGGACGCGGGGAGCTCCCAAGCTCCACGCCATATCCAGCCATATCCAAGCATCCATCATCAAATGCATTGGCCTTTTGTTGAAGACTTCAAGGAAGTCTTCACGGTTAAACACATGCTCAGGTCATCAGCAAGCCTGTTCAGAATCCTTACGACTGTCATGCGGGTCTAGCCAACTGGCATGCTGGCTGGTCTGCAAACAAGAAGGCCGGGCGGAATCCGTCGCGCCGACGGGCCTTTGGATCGTCGACTTCGACTGATGTCGGGATCCGGGCCGCGGACCGGTGGCAATTGGGATGAAGGCAAGGTTGGCCCCTGGGGACTTGACAGTACCTTCTCAGTAATTATTATGATGTGTTAAACATTCGCCATGTTGACTGGTTTCTGAGAGATCAACTGGTGACCTGGAATTTTCGTCCATATCTTCCGACTTACATCAACGAGAGCTGAAATTGACCTGGCCACCAGGATGAAGAGCTTCTCACACGTGGTGAATCGTTCCATTTTCATCAAACTTCCTTTGACTCTAGAGCTGGGATGGAGCATCACTAGATCCACAAAGATCTGACACAACCCTCGCAGATCGCAGGTCTGGTGCTGCACGAATCAGCATACGGGCTGTGAAGCTACCCCGGCTGATGCCAATGCTGCTGCGGCCGGCGCTGCCGCGGGCGGTGCTGCGGGTGGCGCGGCGGGTGGTGCGTTCCACAGCTTTCACAGCTCCTGGCATTCAGGTGGGGGTGGCGCTACCTATGGCTGGCATGGCGGAGCCATCCACGGGGCCGCCGCAATGCACGGGGCCGCCGCGATGCACGGGGCCGCCGCGATGCACGGGGCCGCCGCGATGCACGGGGGCGGATTCACCATGCATCACACCGTCGTGCACCATGATGTCATCCACTGAACAGCTCGGTGGCGTGGTGGCAGGACGAGCAGGATGCACAACGACTTGGTGTAGCCCAGGGCTACAAGGGGTGTTCCTTTGGCCACCGAAAAGGTCCTAGATGTATGACGAACCTGACGTAAACTGATCAAAGCTATGCTTTTGTGCCGACACTAGTCCGGTAAGGGTTCAGCAACACCCCTTGCAACACCCCATGTCCAGCTGAGCAGCGTCAAACAGTGGTCCACCCGTTTTGGCTGGGGTGGGATTCCACTAACAGAGCATGCACTCTGCATGCTTGTGATTCTGCATCCCAGGAAGCCCGAGGGAAGTCTGAGAAAAACACACACGGTGAAATTTGTGGAAAAGCGACTGAGTGACTGACCAACAAACGAGATCGAGATCGGAACAAGCTTTCCCTTTAACATCCCTTAACTATGCTATGTATACCAAAAGCACCTCCAGCACCCAATCGGAAGAACCTGGTCTCGTTGCTTGGGAAGAACGTCAGACCTATCCTTTTAGCCGAGTTGGTCAACCCATGTCCATGTCCAGGTCGGTGCTGAGAGTCGCTCTGGGGATGGGGAACAAACACATCAGAACATATGTACCAACATTGAAGTGTGCTATTCAGAAACTTGATTCATGTGATCGCTATGAGACGAACGCATGGACCGATCTCTGACGAAGCCCATGACGAAGCCAATACCCACAGCCTCGTCGCTTTTATCCATGGGCTTTGCCAAACCCCCGCCACCCAAACCAAATTCTTTTGAAGACTGCAGAGATGTAACAGCATTTATATATGTACTATATGACCCTTGGCACCATTCCAATTCCAAGGCAGGCAAACATTGCATGGATTCATCTGGTGCAAACATCGGTCGATCTCGCTGCCCTGCCCAGGTGGACTTAGATCGATCGCACCCTTGCCAGTCTGGACTGTACATCGAATTCGACCCGTCTCACCAGTGTGGTCAACAAGTGTTGGGGACCAAGACTAAACATGGCCCATGGCCTTCTGACAAAGAGCCGGCAATTCCAAGGGAACATATGTTGTAATTATGGATTTATAAGGACAAACAAACATATTATATATATTATATTACATATTCATTTTTTGCTTCCTATAATATTAATGTATTGGGTGAAAAGGAACATAGTGAGACTCCTGTAGTGTTCGGGTTTCTACGATTTAGTCCCTGGCAGAAAACTCGCACGTTCGACATGTTGACATTGCCACACGACCAGTAGGCACCAAAGTTAGTGCAGAATTGGACGACGTTTGCATCGCGATGGATTCGGCTGGGATTCGGACCGAATCCAACGGTCCGTTTCTTTGCGCGAGACCATCCATCGCCACAGTGCGGGGGTTTTGTGGGCCAGAACATCCTGGTCCGGCCTTGTCACAGCGCGACATGTAGCTGGAGAAATGCGGAAGACTTCAGGGATCGAACCTTTGACATCTTTGACTTGGGCCGAGGCTCCCGGTACAGCCACTCAGACGGATTCTCCCGGTTTGAGGATTCCTTGTGAGGATTCCTTCCGAAAACGACATGTTGCTCATCGCTTCTGAAGGCTTTGAAGGGCTATGTTTCGTTGAATCCTCCCATTCGTATTCAGGTCGAGGTCTCCCGTGTTTGTGTCGCCGCTTTCGGGCGTTTGGCATTCCGTTGGACGGTTCGACGAAGCAAAGCCACCCAGCGATTTACTGACTTGGCCCTGACATGGATTGTAAAGACCTCTTCTTTAGGATTTCGAACAACCGTTTTAATGGTCTTTGCCAAAGAACCACTAAGCTTTGCTGAGGATGTTTATACACACCAGGAGAGGCCATTCCTTGAGTCTTTGAAGGCGACCGGGAAGATCAGAAAATATTCTTTTGTATTCTAAGAACCTACCAGGAGTCACAAAGGGGTGGTGTTTGATCCCCAAGTGAGTGGGTAATGGGCACCCCTAACCTCCATTAAGCACCCCTTAGAGGGTCCTGGTACATTCATTTACGTCTTTCTCCGCTGTCCCATTGTGCAGGGGAGTTTAGCTCAATGTGGTCGATCAGCAGACCACTGCAGGGAGGCCTACAGGTCCATTCTCCGTCCGTCTGTCCATTCTCCCACGCAGCGGGACTCTGGGGAGATTCGAGTAGACCCACGTGGTTTAGAAAGCAAAAACCAGAGAGTCTAGAAACACATATCCCACATACATTTGCGGTAGAACTGTAAAGACACTCTTATAGCTCGCATGGTGGAGCGTATGGTGAGCTATTTTGAGGCCCTATAGTGAAACTCGATTGGGGGGAAGTTTGGAATCTGTGCTTCAGGCAAATCCGATATAGTGTTGTTCTGGCTGCACTGCCTGTCCAGCCCGCGCGCATCTCCGCGAGCCGCAGGGTCCGCCAGACGGCTCGCAGAAGGAGTAAAACGTCCTTAAAACTCAAAACATCTTAAAACCATGTTACGGTTTGTTTACATGGACACGCTCACCCAATGACACTTCGAATGTTCCATATACCAGGACCTTCCAAGAGGTGGTTTTTGGACACTCCTTATAGCTCTAAGAGGCTATTTATAGACACCTCTTGGTGTCGGTCCTGGTACGTTCTCCTTTTGAACCGTCCTGATTTCGACCTTTCAACCGGAGGCTGGACCGGAGCGAGATCCGGTGCAGGTGAGGTGGGTGCCCACCCCCCCCGGTCCGCGCCAGTTGATGACTAAAGAGTATCCGTCGAAAGACTGGAGCAGTCTGCTACTGCTCCAGTGCAGATTCGGATCTTGGATCTAGGGTTTTTTTGGCCAGGCATGCGGATCTTGACGCTCTTTAACAACCCAGGTGTTGAATCATTTGTTAGATGACTGAATTCTGAAGTATTCTTATTTACCAATTGGTTATCATCCAGTGAGTGCATGTACAAATCAATCCACCCCCCAAAGTTTGAGTGGTGATCACACCGTTTGGGACAGGTGCACATGCCAATAAAGCCGTGTGAATATGGACTCTTGTGATCTCTTGTGTCCATATTGGATGTTTATGGAAGTTTTTTGTTTGGAGGAATCTGTGGATCAAATCCAATCACCTCAGCCTATGCCACATCCATATTATAGCCGCCGGAAAGATCGAATGCTGCTCCGTCTCCGTTCGTTTGGGCGTCCGGTAGCAGGTCTCCGTCCCAGGGATTGGACGGTCGGAGGGATAGGGCTTCCACCGAGGCTGGGCTTAATCCTCCTTCATGATCAGCATTTCCTCTCACTGAAGGACCGCATGGATGAGCTGAGCCGCGCGTTGAGCGCGGCCGGGTTGGGAAGAGATATGAATATATATATATATACACGAGCCGAGCGGAGAGATGTTCATGTGGTGTTGGTGCCTAGCAGTGTTTCTATTCTGTTTTCTATTCTGTTTTTTTTCGAGCAGTGTTTGGTTGAGGTGATTTGGCGCAGTTGCATGAAAATTGCGTCAAGTGTGGCAGCCCTGGCTCATTGAACATAATTTAACACTCAACCCAAAGGGACACACATATCTATACCCTAGAAGTACAAAGTAAAGGACATTCCTTTCGTGTCACCTAAAGACCATTCTTTTTTCAGCCTTTGACTCCCAGGGTATATCTATATCTCTATCTCTATCTATCGATCTATCGATCTATCAATCTATCGATCTACCGATCTATCGATCTATCGATCGATCTATCTATCTATCTACCTATCTGTGTCTGTGTCTGTATACATATCTATACATACATACATCCATACATGCATACATATATACATACCTTGGAGTTTGAATCGTAACTTGGATTCCTTTTTTTGTGATCTTGTTGTGCCGGGACATTGATTCAAGGGGTCCTAGACTAGTATCATTTGAAACGAGGTTCCCGGACGGGACTGTACATGGTCAACAAACACTACAGAGCATCAGTGAATCCGAGCCCCAACCCAGGATACACATGTAGAAGGCACACCAAAGGATGAAGAATTTTAAGCAGGCCTACGTGGAGAAATGCTTTGCGCAGTTTACCAGACAGGTCGCACATAATAAATTCCGCCAGCGGGACTCGAACGCGGGTCGCTCGGGTGAGATCCGAGTATTCTAACCAGCTAGACTATGGCGGATTCTGTTGGGCACTAGAGGGAGCCACCGTACCACAGGATGCGTGTGTATTGAGCCGGAGGGGACGCAGGAACGGCTGTGGTCCTCAAGCACTCGCCTTTTTGGCTCATCAGGATGGCACAGGCAACGCTTGATGAAGAGCCTTGAGATTATGTGGATGTCATGTTTGTTTGGACCAATCACTCTAACACCACAACCCCAATCCTCTACGCGTTTACGAATCAGGTCCCATTCAGAAATGACCCATGCAGGGGATCCAAGAAACAGCGGGTCTTGTGTGTGTGTGTGTTGGATCGTTTCCTGTTTGGTGTTGATTTTAGTTGAGCCGTACCACTACTGACCCCTCTAAAGCAACGCTTGAACGTTCGGCTCAGCCCTTGTCTCAGACTTCGGATAGGTGCCCTTCCTCAAGCTCGGCACAGCCAGAGTTTGGGCGAAGATGCATTCATTCTTTTTCATTGACACTCATTCAGTTGGAACTGAGGGCTACCAACAGTGTCATGTATAGGCACTAGCACTGGTAGAAACGGGTTCGAAGAACAAAACGCAGGAGTTGGGTGTCCTAACTGGCTCCCACCTGCTCCCACGTTTTTTTCGCCGCCCACTGCTCTGCTGCATGGCAAGTCCACCAGATTGACGATCAAAAACACGAAACAACGAGGCCGGAACAACTCTTGACAGTGTTGACAGGAACAGCTCATCAACCAGCAGATCGAAGAGAAACGTGGAAAGCTGCGAAGCTACTTTGATGTGCCTTGGAGCAGGGCGTCGCTTCGGTGGCGCAAGACAGTTGGTGCCGAACAGGATCACATGCCCCTGAAATCACGGATGACCTCACATGGCTTAGTGGGCAGGTATCTAAAACTTTTTAGCACTGGATGGTTGAAATCCTCCAGGCTCTTGACTCATGAGAGATAGAATCGAGCCATCTCCAGAGATGGGAATCTTCTGGAGGGTCCAAGCTTGGAGGGATGTACCCTAAAGGATCTCAAAAGCTCATTGGACCCTTATACCATCTCATACTTGGGTTTTGACCTTCACAACTGACATGTAGCTAGAGGGTTTTGGACGTCAAACATAATGTACTGTAGCAGTTTGAGGGTCCATGAAGTTTCTTTTGGTTTGGGCTCCACCGGCAACGGTCGAGTCGGATCTTTTGCGCCCAGAAGGATCATTGGGTCCCAGCGAATTCATGATCGACTAAAAGACGGGGGCATCGAGAACAGATGAGAAAAGCATGGAACAACCAAAACATACAAAAACAATACAGCATGCGTTGTTTCGGGTCTTTTTAATGGAAAGATCCCTTAGTAAGTGGGCCGGACGGATGAACTCCTGGACTTTTTCTATGCGGGTGAAACTCGATGGTTTCGCGGACTTCCGGAAGGTTTTCAGGATACCACTGCAGGTTGCCTCTCTGTGGATCATCGACCTTTTTAGACCTATAGGCCTTTGAGAGGTTCTGGGAACCTGCCTTTCCCCCAAACACATCGAACTCCAGGATCATTCCACACAGTAAGGGATCTCCAGCCACACCCGGACAGGATGCTCCAGGTTGTAACCTGCGGAAAGTCTTTATTCTGGGTATGCCATATGTATTTGAATAGCAAGACGCCCCTGGCCCAATTGGGTTTTGGATGGCTTTGGTCGACCGTTTTCCCGAACCGAACCCACGCAGGTTCAGAACGCCTGCGGTCGGTCGGCCCGATTTTAAGACATACGTTGGGTATGTCCGAACTGACCTGTAACTGTCGGTCAACACGACTTCTATCACTATTTTAGAGATGGAGGTCGGCCTGCAACCACGCCCCAGCATCGTCAACAGACCGATTGGGAGATTCGGATGTCGACAGTGTTTCGGATGGATCCCCGGTCTTCGGGCGTCGACGGTGGACGCCGACCCCTGAAACCGGGG